TGAGAGAGTCATTGATTGAGCCCACAACCCGGGCATGTGTCCTGACCGGGAATCGAACCCCAATTGCCTGGATCCCAGGTCGACGCTCAACCACTGAGCCACGCCCGGCTGGGCTCCATTGATTTTTAAAAAATATATAATTTTGCTGATTTCAGAGAGAGGAAGGGAGAGGGAGAGAGAGATAGAAACATCAATGATGAGAATCATCCATTGGCTGCCTCCTGCATGCTCCATACTGGGGATCGGACCCACAACCTGGGCATGTACCCTGACTGGGAATCGAACTATGACCTCCTGGTTCATAGGTTGATGCTCAACTACTGAGCCATACCAGCTGGGCTCTTTATTATCTCTGAAGATTATTATCCCCATATTAGTGGTGATTAGTTTACAGAGGTTAGATAATTGTGCCAAGGCCACACAACCAGTATTTAACAGTCCGAATCAGCTCAGCTCTCTCCATATCTAAAGCGCACCCTCTTGATCTTACTATATGACTTGCTAAAAGCATGTACTTCCTGAGATGATAATAAAAAAATAATACCAAACACATAGCACTTACTATGTTATGGGCTAAGCACTTTACATATACTAACTCATTTAATCCTTAAAAGGTTGTAAGAGCCCTGGCGGGTGTGGCTCAGTGGTTAGAGTGTCGGACACGCACTGAGGGCTCTCGGGTTCGATTCCCAGTCAACAGCATGTACCTGGGTTGCAGATTCGACCCCCAGCCCCCTTCGGGGTTCTGTGGGAGGCAACCAATGCGTGTGTCTCTCTCACATCTATATCTCTGTCTCTCTCTCTCTCTCTTCCTCTCCTCCCTCCCTCCTTTCCACTCTCTCTAAAAAATCAATGGAAAAAGGTGAGAATTAACGACAACAACGACAGGTTATGAGATACCACTATTATTAGTATCTCAATTTTGTAAATGAGGAAATTGAGGCAAGCAAGGTTAAGCCTGTATCTTAATCATTATGCTACGCCGAGTCTCTGAAATAAAATTTAACTGTCAGATATATATTTATTACAGTTAAAAAAGGAAAATGATCAGATATAGTGCATCACTGAGAAGAAACATACAAATTTTATTGTATTGTAAATGATAATTATTTTTGAAGTACATTCTTACAGAAGCCATCAAAATGTATTCTAACCTTTAATAAGGTTTTATTACAAGGAAATAATTCAGAAGGGAAAAAAGTTCAGAGGTGTTAATTTGCTGTTTGTAATAATGATAAAGGAGAAATAACTGGCAAACCCGCAATTGGAATGAAAGAAATGAACATTACATAAATTCTTGCACTATTGCTAGCATTTTTCTAGTCATTCACTTGGTTGTTTCAAGTACGTGCCCCACAATAACCTTATAAGGTAGATGGTATTGTCATTTTTACAGAACCACAAACTGAGGGTCAGGAAAATGTAAGGGATCCAGATCTTTCTTGACCCCAAATAATCAGACCCTTAACAATATCTTGAGGGACAGTACAATGTTATATGTCATTAACATTTACAAGTAAGTTGGTGTGGGAATCAGTGTGAACACTTTTTTTTAATACTCACCCGAGGACATGCTCAGAGAGAGATAAACATCGATGTCAGAGAGAAACGTCAATCAGCTGCCACGCACACACTCCCTGACTGGGGATATGTGCCCTGACGGAAATAGAACCCACAACCTTCTGGTGCATGGGTCGACACTCCAACCAACTGAGCCACCTGGCCAGGGCAATGTGAAAAACATTTTAATTAATAAAGCCTTCAATATGTACACATTTGATCTATGTAAAGATGATTGTTAAAGTCAAGAGTTTTATCTGATAGGATTTTTTTAGGGACAAATTTCTTTTTAAATCAAAATATACTCTAAAATGTTGGCATCTGTACTAGTTCTACTGTCCTGCCCTACTCAATACTTGGCCCTAAATTTATGCAGGTTCATATATTTACAAATTATGTACTTATACTTTAGGTCTAGAGAAATGTAGGGAATTAACTACCATTCTTGAATAATAGGAAGGTTTGACGTGGTAGGACGGCAGTGTAATGTAGTAGCTAAGAACTTCAATTCTGGAGTCAGCCAGCTTAGGTTTATTTGAATTCCGGCCCTATCACTAGCTATGTGACATTGGGCAAGTCCCTTTTCTGTTTTCCACCACTTTTTTTTTTAAAGATTTCATGAGAACATGAAGGTTCAGCAAAGAGTCTGGCGGTAGTAAGCTCTCAATATGCTGGCTGCTACCATCATAAACATCATCATCATCATTATCAACTTCTGGGAGTTGGTTTTACTAGAGATCAGAATTGAGGTCTTTTAGATTGCATTAGATTTCTGTGGTGGCCTAATAAGCCACCAAACACTTAATTGCTTAAAACAATAACCGTAATATTTACTAGCTCACAGTTCTTTGGGTTGGTAACTTGGTCTCAACTCAGCTGGGTGCTTGGGCTGCACTGGTCTCCCCCTGTTCTTGGTTGGGCTTGCTCACGTACCTGGGGCCTCTCTCTGCTTGGTCTCATTCTCAAGTGGGCTAGCCTGGGGCTATTACATGGTGTCAGTAGACTACCCAGCTGGAGTCTGGAAGAGGCTTGGCCTATTGAAGTCCAGGCTCAGGCTTCTGACACCCAAGTTTCACATCTGCATTCTAATGGTTAAAGTCACAAGGTTAGCCCAGGTTCAAAGGGTGGGCAGTGGAGCTCACTTTTTTTTTTAATCCTCACCTGAGGATATTTTTTCCATTGCTTTTTCAGAGATTGTGGAAAGGAGAGAGAGAGGGAGGGAGGGAGTGAGGGGGGGAAAGAGAGAGAGAAAGAAAGATAGATCACTGTGAGAGAGACACATCGATTAGTTGCCTCCCGTACCCACCCCAGCCAGGGCCGGGGATCGAGTCTGCAACCACGGTATGTGGCCAGAATTGAACCCGGGACCCTTCAGTCGGCGGGACGTAGAGTTCACTTTTTGATGGGAGTTGCTGCAGAGTTTCTAAGTTTTAAATCTGCCATATAGACTAAGCACTGGAAACTCTGTTTCATGCTGATTAAGATCGGCTGATTGACTTTTGATAAGAAATAAGATTATAGTTAAATGTCAGGGCATGTTTTAAAGACTCAATAATATAGCATATTCATAAAAATAAATTAGTTTTGGTACAGTTGGTAACTAAAACTTTTACTAATACTCTTAGAAATTAAATTCATCTTGTTTTTAGAAAATCTTGCCTATTCGGGAAACTATTATAAGGATATACGTAATTTAAAAAAAATTCTCCCTTAAAAGGTAAAACCACTTAAAAAAAATAACTAAGTACCATTTTTCTAACCCCCAGATTAATAAAGGACAATTTTTTAAGTTTGCAAACTTTCTATATCATATAACATTCAGCCTGTTTAATCTCAGATGATGTATTAGTAAGAAGTGAAGTCATTTCTGTCAAATACAGTAGGTTGGGCACTATGATAAAAACTTTTGTTTCTGTGGAGAATTGAATTCAGGATTCATTTATACTCTTCTACCTGAGTTGTTGCTAAATAAAGGTGGGTTTTTAAATAAGTCTAAACAAAATCTAGCAACTTTGCTTAACTTAAATATACATTTATTTGCAATGTTTTATTAAACTACAAAAATTAAGTACAATAATGTTAGTGTTCCTTGAACTAAATTCTATCAAAAGTAAAAATGCAGTGAATCATAGGCACAGATGTTAATTTCTCAGAATTCTTTTATATATCCTTTAATTTCACATAGGTTATTCTCACCTTCTCATTCTTAATAATTAGGGTCATTAATTATTACTTTAGTTTATGTGAGCTGAAACAGCAAAGAAGCAATGCAGCAGTAGGCCAGAAGACAGTACATTTTAATATGGTGATTCTGTCATATTTTCAAGGGCATTTTTGAATCTTTAAACAGAAATCTCAGTAGAAAATTTAACTCGCTAGTACTTGCATGGTATGAATAGTTTTTTATTCCTTTTGAATAGTCTGTTAAAATGAGTTTTAGAACACTTAGGTTGTTTGGTATATTGAAGAGTAATGATAGGAGTATCTTAATATCTCAGTTGCATTGATTCTGGTTAAATTTGTGCTTTTTTAAAAAAAAATATATATATATTTTTTTACTTCAGAGAGAGGAAGGGAGAGGGAGAGAGAGAGAGAAACATCAACGATGAGTCATTGATTGGCCACCTCTTGCACTACCCCCACTGGGGATCAAGCCCGCAACCCAGGCATGTGTCCTGACCAGGAATCGAACCACAATCTCCTGGATCCTAGGTCGATGCTCAACCTCTGAGCCATGACCGCTTGGGTGTGCTTCTTAATCCTGGCTTTACAAGCTTCCCAGTCACCTATGGAACATCTCTAGGAAAATTCCAGGGATTCTGATCTGGCAGGTACCATCATAGCATTGGCCTTGATAAAATCTTACTGCCATTCATAATGGCAGATGTATCACAAAAAATAACACACCAGCACACATCCACTCTTCTGAAGTTGATTTTTAAATGCTAATGTTTTATCTTTATTAGGAGACAGAAATCCTAGTTTAAAACCTATTCAGTAAGTTTATATAAAGTTACATTTTGAAATAGGTAAACACTTAGAAAGTAGCTGTTGTGAAAGAAATACTAATACTGTTTAAATTTATGGAAGCATGTGGTAATCATCAAATATGGAAAATAAATACTACTTGTATTCAGTATTAAACATCAAGTATTTCCTTTCTTGCTATAAAATAGATATGGGGTTTATTATTTCAATGTTAAAATATGAAAATTTTTAGTAAAATTTACCCTCATAATGTAGTTCCTCTTCTCATTTCCCATTTGAGCTCTAACAAATCAGTAAGCGTGGGATAGCTTACATTTAGCCTGTAGTCTCTGGTCATTTAAATAGTTTCACTTTTGAATATGTTAAAGTTATGATGTTCCCTTTGCACCTTCTGTGTCTGGTTACCAGCCAGACTACTAATACGGAAGTGGATTTTGCAAATTGTTTTTCAGCTGACTACCTGGCTCAGGCATTTGATTCTCTTTGTTTGGACTTGAAGACCGATGAAGGAAAAATCTTATTTTTGGAGTATCAAGCTGTTCCAGTAATACTAAGTCACCTAAGAATATCCAGTAAAGGACTCTTATCCAATGTCATTGATAGTTTGCTTCAGATGACAGTGGAATCCAGTAAGTTTTAAAGTTTTATATACATAAAGGAATGGCGGTGGGATGATTTTTCTCATCTGTTCTGAATGGTGAATGTCTACATATCAGACACCATTGCTTTTTTAATAGAAAGGCTTTAAAATATTTTTGACAACTATATAATAGAGTCATTAATAATATCACTAAGTTATAAAACCTAACCCTTTGTCCAGATTTTCACTAACTTAGCACAATTTCCAATAGTCATCTCAGTTATGTGGATATATTCTGCAAATGTTACTCATATCCTCAGTCTTCTTTCTTGTTTGGTAGTAAACAATCTATTATACTTGGTGCTGCTTGCTGGTCCCTAATGGCTGGGTGCAAGGCATGGTTATGCTTCTAACTAGGTACATTGCGTGTATGTTTTCACATTTTCCAGCCACTGTTCTATACACACTTGTTTTTCCTTTACAACACTCCTCTGAAGGAGGCCTAATAGAAAAACAGGTCTAGACAAATTGTCCATGGATTCCACAACTATACAGAGGTAGAACTCAGACTTGAAACCAGGTCTCGGATTCCAGATGTGAAGTGCATTCTACTATCTAGCACAGTGATTAGGTTTTTCAGGTTTGTTTGTTTTCCTGGCCCCCAAATGTCATATTTTCACTAATCTCTTTTGCTAATATTTTTAGCCATTTGTAACCATTAAGATAATGGATTATAGTTGGGGAATTAGCTACCTAGGTAAGTAATATTGGGGTTTTGAATCTCAATGGACTAATTTAAGGTGTAGAGCAAAAAGTGAAAAATTAGTAAACTGAGACACAGAGACCCAAGATTACTTGTTTAAGTGGGTAGATTTCCAACTAGTTTCACAGAATTTTTTGTTTAATGAGGAAAACAAAAATCCTACCAGATGCAAATATTTATTCATCAAAAACAAATCTGTCTGAATATGTCTGACACAGATGAAATCTTCCCTATAGCCAAAGGAAAACTCAGTAAAATTTTAGGGAATAGTGGACCTACTTGTGGCATTGTAATGTTCATATTTGGAGAAATAGTATTAGGTTAGCCAACAGATGTTCAGTTCATTTACATTTGTTTACCTTTGTTCAAGTTATGATCAAATCCAAGGTTATTGTTTCTTGCTCAAATTGAGTAAATGAAGCAAATGCTAATTTTGATTGCTAGAAAGCCATGTCATTTTTAATGGTGGGAAACTTTTGGAAGATCCATAATAGGCAGGTCTTTGGTGATATTTATATTCATCTTCTTGATATATTTTCCAGTGTTAATATAAATTTAGTACCTGGTGTTAGTGAGCCAACAAAATTTGTTGAAGGGATAAATGAATGATAGATTAATGCAACAAATACTTCTCTAGCTATTGGTTTTATGTTTTGTTTTTTCTAGATTTGAGATGGGAAACTCATTTCACCATATACATAATTTCCACATGCCATTTATTTTTTTAATTCGTGGGAAAGAGTTGTTGAAAAAGAAATTTTGATAGAATTGATTTGCAGATGGCTTATCTCACCCATCTCATGTGCACTAGTGGCCAGCTGTGTGTGTGTGCGGTGCCACATTTTAAGCATTATGTTTGTGGTGTACTGCTGCATGTTGGGGCTTCCTTTGAAGCCCGTTGGAGCTTCAGAGCAAGAAGGTAGAGGGAGGTGTCCGTGGGCTAATCTCTGGCCCTGGGCTACCCAAAGTGCCTAGTACTGGGTTAACCGGGAGGTCGGTATAGAAACAGTGTTTAGAAACCTATATAGTAATTTAACAGTAATTTTATGTCTGTTAAATCCAATAATAATTTAAAACATTTGGACTTGTTTTTGTATACTTCTTTTATTTCATTTTCTATTGTTTTTTAATGGTTTTGTAAAAAGATAAACTGAGACACATTAAATTTTGAAAAGTTTATTTGAGCAAATGATTTGAATGGGACAGCACCAAAACTGAAAATGGTTAAAGGTGCTCCACAGGTGGGGCCCAGGGCAGAGGTGGTTATAGAGAAGACATGCAGACAAAGCAAAGAAATTAATTGGCTATAATTTAAATATTTGACTTATTTGGGAAAATTTAGTTACTTGGCTGTTATAATAATTGTTCTGGAGTTTCAGTTTCTCAGATTTTAGAAAATCTAGTTGAGTGTTTATGATTAGTTGTTTTTGAGTTTTGTTTTCTTAGATTCAAGTACATTCACTCTGGCTTAGGTTTGTTTGTTGAGGTAGGCTACACTGCAGAAGGCACTAGAGCCCCCCGGTCTAACAGCCTCCTTGTTGAACTGTTCTAGCAGTATTTTATAGACGTGTGATGGATTCTTTGTGCTGGATCGGAAGTGTTGAAAGACGTCCTTCGCCACAGTTCTCTCCATCTCTATGGATACTTTATCTTAAGCTATGTTATAGTTAGTGCTGCAAGTGATTTTTTTCTTCTTCCCTTCTGCTCTTCCCCAGAATTCATCTTTTCATATATGAGAAATGTCATTAGCTGTATAGGTATTGTTTTTTGAAAGCTGCCAAAATATATTTCTTTAAGTGTAAGTTAAGATCTTCACATTGATTTACCTTCCAGTATATATTATGAGCACAATATTTTTTTTAGATTGAGGGCTTCTAATTATATCTGTTTGGGGTGTGAGTGTATATATTATATAATAACTTAGTGGTGTTGCTCTTAGAAAATTACTTTGTGATTTTTTTTTTTTTCCTTTTTCCTGTCAGTGGTTGAAAGTTATTACTCACCTGTTTGGATTTAGCTGTGTGAGAACTTGAGTCTAATTTTATGTCAAATAATTCTTTTCTTGTCAGACTTAGTTTAAGTAGAGGAATTTAAGTTTGTATTTGCATTATTTAGTTTGTTCACTTTTGTGGCCTTGTCTAAGGTATCGTGCTACTGTTTAACTCTTGGAAGACAGTAATATATTTGAGCACATTTTGCAAACCTTATTTTTGTTTAAGTAAAATTTATTATAAGAATTTGGAAAACTACAAACCAACATAAAAAAAAAAGTCTTACCATTCTGTACATTCACTCCCTGTGAATATTACATTCTGTCTTTTTTCTATGAATACTTTTCATGATGTTGGGTTTTTCCTTTTTTTACCATGGGTAGATCCTAGTGTATATACAGTTGCATCAATATATGTTTGTGTTATCTGTCTAAAATATTAAAGTACCAAAAAATATTAGGAAATGTTGCAAAGAAATATACTTGAGTTTGGTTTAAATTACCTCTGAATATGGGTAAGAAAAATTAATAAAGTTAAAGATATCATCAAATGCTTGAGACTGTGCTACATGCTACATCTAGAACTCATTTGTGAACATATCTGTATTTTTTATTTTAGTGCAGCTACTAATTTTTCATTGGCAGTAATTCTTCATTTGGGCAACATAATTTCTTCTCTTCTTGCTGTTTTTAATTTATTATGTCATTCTATTATATTTTTATTATTAGGAAGATTAAGGCAAGGACAATTTCAATGAAATGATAAGTGTGATACTTTGAACAAAGTGCTAACCTAATATGTACACACCATGTTTGTAGTCCCAAATCCCGCACACGCATAACCTGTTTTCTCTGTTACAAATTTTCACATGAAAGAACGTTCTCTATAAGGAAACACAGTGAGAAGTTATATTTTTTAATAACTAAAAATTATATAATATTTTTTGTTAAGACTCCTCTTAATTCCACCACCTTAACATGACATTTATAGTTTGTATACTGTGTAATATATGTGTGTGTGTATATATTTCTTACATAGTTGGAATCATAATATACATACTTTTTTGTTTTATAAGTAATGCATATTCATTGTAGAAAAATTAGAAAATTCAATTTTATTTCATTTAACAAATATCTGTCTATAGACTATACATTCATCCCTGGCAGTGAGCTAGGCACTAGGGATACAGCAGAACCCAAGACAAGTAAGTCCTCTGTCATCATGGATCTTATGGTCTAGTTAACTTTTGTCAAATTATTGGTATACTGGGGATGATCATAATACCAATATCATAGGATCATTAAAGGTGGTGAGGGACTTAGCCATGCTAAGATCTTGGAAAAGACTGTTTCAGGCAGTGGGACACAGCTAGAGCAACGGTGTTAGGGCAGGTATTAGCTGTGCTAGGTGTGGTATTTTCAGAAAGAGCAGGGAGTGGGCAGAGGAGTAGAATCATCAGAAAGACAGGGCCTGCGACTCTTACTGGGAAGGGCCTTGTTGACATCATCAAGACAATCAAGAACATTCGAAACTTGGTTTAGGTGATCTCCAAAGACCATTCAGCCACCAAGGAAACATGCAGACTGTTTTCAACATCTGAATTTGTTGTAGTTAAAAAAAATTATTTAAAAGCTTAATTTAAACCCAGAGAACATAATTTCATAGAAACTATATTTCTTAAGAAAATCAAAATGGTACTAGTAGCAGCCTTTATGGTCTCCCCTGTCCCTTCCAAAAGACCTGTTTATAGATCTTGATCTTCAAGCCTGCTGATCATTAAGAGAAGGGTGGTTGGTTTTGGATACATGAAACTGAAAAAGCCATTCCAGTGTTTGTGCCAGTCATTAGAAAATCTAAGTTGGAGTTTGTCTATGTATCTTTTAAGACTATTACAGATTATTAAGAAAGGAAAACAAATCCTTTCTTTGAGGTGAAATTGGTGTATAACATACCAGTTGCAGGTGTACAACATTATAATTCGACATCTGTGTACACTATATTCACAAAGTCATCACCACCAAAAGTCTAATTACCATCCTTCACCATATAATTGCCCTCCTTCTCCCATTTCATGCCCCCGAACCTCCTTCCCCTCTGGTAACCACCAATCTGTTTTCTTTATCTGTGAGTTAGTTTTTGTTTTCTTTTTAAAATTCCACATATAGTGAAATCATATGGTATTTGTCTATCTTTGACTTACTTATTTCACTTAGCATAATACCCTCTACGCCCATCCATATTGTTGCAAATAGCAAGATTTCTTTTTTTACGGCTGAGTAGTAGTCCATGGTATAT